ATTATTATTATTATTTCTTTTATCATTGAGACCTACAGAGGCAACATTTGTACTAACAGAGGCCACATTTCAGAGGCAACACTTGTACTAACCTGTTGTATAAAAATGTCCTGTCGTTTTCTTCTGATAATTCTTCAAATCAGAAAAATAAAGGTGACGATTCCTTGATGCCTTTATCTAATTTTTAAACTCTAAAAATTCCTTTTTAAAAGACTTTAGTACATTAATATTATTTTCTAGGGTAAACGCAGCATAAACCTCTTCTGTTTATTTCTGTCAATTTTCAGCAATTAGATTGAGCCGCGGAAGAAATTGGTCAGCGAGAGACAGACTTGTTTGCGTGTCCTTTCTGTTCACTCTATTCTGTTACGCCCCGTGTAAACTTTTCCTCGTGGCAGTATTTGGCAGTTAATACTGGAATAAAAGGGGCTAATCTCACTAGCTCATAACTATCTTCCGAGTAGGTAGTGGGTGATCAATCAGTATTTACTGAATGAATAGAGCTAAATTGATATGCCTTTTAGAGAAGATTGTTGCCTTGACCGTCAATACATCAAAAGTTTTTATTCTATCTTTCTATCACAATTTCCCCCTTTCAGATCCTTTTCTTCTGGAATTGACCTAAATTGTTTTTGATACCTTGTGATACTTCCAGTTTTCTTTACTCTAGTTTGGCTCTGGCTTTGAGTGTGTCCCACAATTGATCACGGAAAGCTTACAAGAATATATAAAATTCAAGACAGAGGAAATCAGGAACAATCTGGTTGGCTGTCTTCCAAGAAGCCGCCTCTGAGTGCATGGCAAACTTGGCATGGTGCTGTGGGCCCCTGGATTCCAAGGCCCACTACCTGCTCTCCATAAGCCACACGCTCACCAGGCTGAAGGGATGGGTGGTGTCTGAAATCTAACGCCCGCTTTGTACACCCTGGCATAGGGCTCTGTCTGCCTGCAAGGATGGGCACATTTTTCTAATTCACAGGAAGACATCATGGGGCACTTTTCCGTCCTCTGGGAAATTGGTAAAGACTAGTAGAGACCCCTGAGTCAATGTCTAATTGGGCAGTTCTCCCTCTTTATTTTTCTTCAGAAATGGCTCGGCTATTCTAAGCTCTCCACTCTTGTTGAAAGTTATAAAAGAATTCTTGCTGAGGTTTCCATTGGATTTGCATTGTTTTGTATTACTTTGCAGAGAACTGACATCTTTTTTTATATTTTATCTTATTAATTGACATGGCCTATTTATTTGTGTCTTGTTAATTCCCTTTAATATAGTTTAGTAATTTCTTCATAAAGGCTTTGAAAATATTTTGTGAGATTGATTTCCAAGTTTTCTCTCTCTCATTGTTTTTATTGTACACATACATAAACACACATAAAATTACATTTTATAACTATTACTGATGTTTAGGAGACTGAAGAAAAATTAAATTTTTATAGAGTCACATGTAACTAATCTGTGGTTTCTTTTTTTTTTTAATATATCTTTATTGATTTCAGAGAGAGGAAAGGAGAGGGATAGAGAGAGAGAGAAACATCAATGATGAGAGAGTCATTGATCGGCTGCCTCCCGCACGCCTCCGACTGGGGATCGAGCCCGCAACCCGGGCATGTGCCCTGACCGGGAATTGAACCCTGATTGCCTGGATCCCAGGTCGACACTCAATCGCTGAGCCCCGCCCCGCCGGGCTCTGTGGTTTTTTAGCTTTTATGTTTCCTATAGCATGATTAAGTGACCATTACTCTGTTTTCTTTTTAAAGTTATTTTTGTTTAACTTAAATTTTTTTTCAAAAAATGTTTTTATTGATTTCAGAGAGAGGAAGGGAGAGGGAGAGAGGTAGAAACATCAATGATGAGAGTCATTGATTGACTGCCTCCTGCTTGTCCCCTACTGGGGGTTGAGCCCCCAACCTGGGCATGTGCCTTGACTGGAAATCGAACTGTGATCTCCTGGTTCATAGGTTGACACTCAACCACTGAGCCAGGACAGCTGGTCTTCATTTAACGTTTTAACCCATCTGGAATTTGTTTTGGTATTTGTGTAATTAACAATTACACAAATTTTATTTACATTTATTTATTTATTTATTTATTTATTTATTTATTTATTTATTTATTTATTTATTTATTTATTTATTTATATTTCCCAGGAAGCTAGCCAAGTGTTCTGGCACCATTTTATTTCCCACCAAACACTACTTGTATCATGAATTTGTGTCTGTAGCCTTCCTTTTCTGTCTTTTTAATTACCTGAAGAGTTAATAAGTCTTGGATTTTAGTCAATCAATTAAACATTTTGAAAACTAAAAGGATACTTTGACCTCCTACTGCAGCAGTGTGAGAGAATGCTTGCAACAGAGAATTTGGGTCCCTAAGTCTTCTGCTCCTAGCCTAGCTAACAGAGTGGACAATATATACACAATAGATGGATGAATGAACTGAGGAGGAGAAGAGACACCTTTCTACTTGGATTTCATTTTCTTTGGGAGGAAGCTAGGTTTTGAATTTTTGCAAGATAATACTCCGGTAGACTGGGAAGGAGAATCTGATGCAGAGCAACCTTGGAAGGAGGCATGGAAAGGAGAATTACTAGGAATGCTTGAGATACTGACTGGTTAGTTGGAAGTTGAAACGTGTTCAGAAACCAGAAAGGAAAGGACGTTACTGCAAGTATGATAAAGATGAGAGGGCTGAGAGAGTTCTTTGTTTTGTTTTCCTTATGGAAAATTTTATGCAGAGGAAATAGTATAACAGACCACATGAACCCATCACCTATCTTCAACAATTATCAGTTCCGAAGTTGGTTTTGTTTAATCTCCACCTCTCCCCATTTCACTGCGTTCCCACCACTGGATTATTTTGAAGGAAATCCTAACCATTCTATCATTCCATCTACAAATGTTTTAGCATGAGTCTGTAAAAGTCAGAACATCTTTATGACCACGAAACACATTCCACTATATCCAGGTTGAATTTAAGGAAGCCTAGCTCATTTTGATTAAAGTGGTGCAGTGCAAAGAACCTTCAGTTTGGCTTTAGGAGACCTACCTCTGTTTAAGTCGGTGGTCCTCAACTCATCTGTTGACTCTAACAATGCTTTCCTATCCCCTGGAAATCTCCATTTCCTCATGAGTAAAATAAAGATAAGCAGCTGTCTTATTTCAGAATTGCCATCAGGATGAGGTAACAGAATTGACAACAAGCCACTTAAACATGTGAAATGCTAAACTTTCCAGCCCAATCCTGTTTTGTAAATGACCCCGAGGACAAGTCATCTGAAGGCAACCACACCCTTTGTTTAGCCTTGTGACATTGTTTCCTTGCAGGTTTCTCTTTCTGAAAAACACACTGCTTTCCGAGTTGTTTTTCTTCTAACTTTAGGGTGACAGACGCTCCTAGTCATGAATAATTTTGAATACCAACAGAATAATGTTTACTTGTGTTTGTCACCTTTTCACTTCAGGTTACCCTGTGTTTCTCTCACGCCCCAATTATCAGATTCTACTGAGTGTAAACTCAATTTCAAAAGTTGATTTTAGTGTCCTTTTGGCCAACAGGAGCTTCAAATAACTAACGGAAAACTTTTATTTCCTCCCTCACCAACAGCCTCAGGCAATCAAAAGAAAAAAGTATTTATTTAGACGGACACACATCTGATTGCAAAGATGTCTCTCCGTCCTCCTATTATGCGTCTTCCTATAGGGGGAACTCTAAAGAGAGTGTTTTCCAAAAAGGGGCCAGCTGGGCGGTGTCCTCTTTTCCAAACGCCCAGATTTCTATTCTTAGATCTGGAGATAGGAGGCGGCCTTCACTTTTCCTCTTCCCAGTTCCCAGACCTTCCGCGGGGCTGAGCGAGCCCCGGCCGGAGGGTCGGAGCGGTGGCGGCCCAGCTG